TTTTCTGACATTGTGAATAAAATGATAAAATATCATGAGTTAAAATTTAGGATAATTTTTTCGATAAATAAAATAATTGACCTTATTTTGTTACTTCGATTCATGTGAATTCAGTTATTTACCATTCACGCATATTGTCTTGTGAAATATGAAATTACTTACAATAGAATTGGGAAAATAATATAATTATGAACATAAGATAAAAATAACAAAAAAATTCTCTTGCTGATCAATAACTGGAACAATTAAGAAACATTTAGTATGTAGACCAAAACATTATTAAAAATTATCAAATAAGTGGCCTTTTTATCAACTGAAGGTTTATTATCAGTGATCTGATCTATTCATTTTTACAAACTATATTATCAGTACAATTCACTTGATATTGTTTTTACTTGAATCTTCCCATTGATGTTTTTAGGACTGAAATTGATCAGTCTCTTATTGGCATATGTGCATACTGTGCGTATGCCTCGATATTGCCTTAATTTACAAGCATTATAAGCAAAAATGAATAGTGGCTAGCAGTGGAATCCAGGACGCGCGTTTCCTCCTGTTTGGGACTCGTCAGCTGGATGTACCTGCATCTCAGAGTTGATGTTCACTCAGTACTGAGTGAATTTTTGGAAAAAAATTAAAATTGAAAAAATTATTTCAAAAGATTACAATATCGTTCCTTTATATGATGAAAATTGATGCTACAGTAGTGATATTATAAGTATAACCTTCTTTTTTAAAAAATGTTTTAATGCCACTTAAAATAAACAAATATATAACAAGAAAATGGCTTTATTGAAATTGAAGACATTGGATTCAGTTAGCTCAAATTAAAATAATCCTCATAGAATTTATTGATACGTGATATTATTTTTAGTATAAGAATTGATCTGACACTTATTAATATACTGTTTAAACAATGTTAGGTTAATTAGAAAGAACTTGAATAATAATAGTAATAATAATAATAATAATAATAATAATAATAATAATAATAATAGGTTAGAATCACCGTGAGTCCAGTGAGAAATGAATCAAAATCTGATTATGTAGTAAATAAAACGATCGTTAACATATAAATATGATATATGTAAAGAATATTGCTTAAATTAATATAGAACGCATAAAATGCGGCATCACATATTCAATAATTGGAATTATCAAAGATTAGGAATTGATTCATATTATCTAAAATAAAGTGTTATAAATTAAGATACAGACGTAGTAACCAATAAGAAAGCACTCGATAAGTGATTAACACAACTCATGAAAACAGGAATTCTATCTGCTATCTATATGTAAAATTTTAGAATAAACTGAGTTGCTGAAGTACTATTGACAAGCGCAGCTATGAGAGTATCTAATTCAACTATGCACTTTTATGAATCATAACAGGATTAAAATAGAAATTTGCAGTTAGCAAACAATGCAGAATGTACATTGACTGGTTACTGACTGATAATCAATGTCATGCATGACTTGTTCTCTAGTGATGATCGAATTTTAGCGACTAATAATACAGGGTTGGGAAGATTGTTCAGTTTCATCAAGATCATAAATTGGTCAGTGTTAGACAAGCATCGGAAACCTGGACGACCGATTTGTCCTAATATGGAACTTCTCAGAGGTGCGCATTCACAATCCTGATGGTTGAACAGAGTACTATCTACAACTGTAAACTGACAGAACAATCACTTGTTTGCATAGCATGCGGTTTATTTTTACTACCCACGACGTTTATCAGAATTGTATCAAAAAATGAAAACTTTTCCTATTGATTTATCTATCTTCATTGTGATATGGATATACAGCAAGTAAGTATATTGGAAAACAAACTAAAAATAACGCATTTAAGGATGCATCAAGAGTGATTGTGGAAGAATTCGTGAATATTGAAATTCAGAAACGATAAAATTTAGAAATAATCTATAAGTTTAGATATAGACTAAATGTTTATTTTTTAAAACAATGTATCACAAAGTGACGACATCTAGGATTAATCTCAACTAAGTACCTGGCTAGAAACTACCTATAATTAATATGAGAAATATATAAATTGGAAAACAATGTATTAAGTGCATCAATATATTTATTATATACACTTAAATGATGGGAGTTATTACTTCCTTTTTCAATTATATAGATTTATAATACTATAATCCAGGATGGTTGGAGGTAGTCAGCAGGAAACCTTGAATTTATGTTTAGTGTTAGTTAGCTCTTATCAGTAAAGCGTATCTACGATTTGTTTCGCTTGACTTCCCAGTTCATGGTATTACTGCTAATCTATTCAGATTGCAACTGACAATACACAACTATGACTATATAATGATCTAATGAATGTCAGATAGCTTTAAGTGTTATTAGTGAAATAAACGTTCTAAATTACTATTCAAAAGTTTATTACTTCTCTTTCATAAACTACTAAGCCCATTCCAGGACAATTGTCATATAATTACTTCAAGAAACAGTACAATGAATTTACATCTTTAAAAAACCAAACCTTTGTATGGTAAGATATAAAATATAAAAACAGAACAGGACTTTGAAATTCTATGATAAAACATTTCTAGGAAGTAGTAAAAACAACCAAAATAGCTATTCTATTTACACATGCCCTCGTCTTACATTATATTTGTTCTTGTTTAAATTTTTTTCCACGAAAACCAAAAACATCACATGTATACCAATTAAAAGGTAGTTTAGATAGATTTTTATTTTCCTTTAGAAAAACCAATGATGATTTAATAGAAATCTATAAAACTGTCAGCTGATGAAAGAAATTAAAAAAAACAAAAAAGGAGGCATAGAAAGATTTCAATAATGTAGCTCAGAAATTTATATATACAACTACTGTAATGAATATTTATCTTTAAAGGGTAGAGATTAAAGTGTTGTGATGACAGAGATATGATCAAACAATATCAAGGGCAATAGTTATCTACACTTTGTTGGTAAACATGATTTTATATCGGAAAATTAATTAACCTGATCCCATTCAATAGAACAATAAATTTTTGAATTGTAAAACAATAGAAATTATTCATCTGTTCAGTAATCTACTAAATAAACAATTTTAACGTTGTGTAATGTAATATACATTGTGTGAAAAACATTTTCAGTTATTCCAACACAAAATTATTCTTTTTTGTCATAATATAATTCAAACAAATAATACAATTACAAACACTTTTTCGTTGCAATTATGAGATGTGTAAGCAACGGTAACATTAATCTATGCTGTAGTAGTAGTAGTGTGATGTGTGCTACTGATGTCGACAGATATGAGTAGTATGTATCACCAATTGAAAATGGAGTGCCTGGTGGTAGAAGGTTGAGAGAATCGAAGAGAAGAGAGCGAGAACAGAGTGATTGGTATGGAAACAGAGGAATAACAAAGTCTGAGACAATTGATGGATATTTTGCAAATTATGTATTACTGTTTGGGTCTCAGATTTTACCAAGATATTATGTGGTGTTGTATTAAAATATATATGGTTGTCCACACCTTTGTTCTCGTTCACTACAGTAGCAAGAGTAATGACAGTAGTAGGATTAGTATTATTAGTAGTAATAGTATAAATCCAAAGCTTTTAAATGTTTAATCAAAAACACTTAACAGAAATATTGTGAATACTATCTTAAACCATTTAAAATCTACTAAGATATTTTGTGTTTAAAGGAACAAGTACTGTGAGGAAGAGAAAGAAAATACAGACGATTTATGATCAAGATAAAAATGAAAGGAACTGAGCTGGTAGAAAGGAAAAAGGAAAAGAAATTAGAAAAAATTTAGAAAAAATTGAATAAACAACCAACATCTGACTCTCTAATTCATACATTAGAGGTTATGCAGTGTTAGATGATATACAATTGACATATTCATATCATAAACTGTCATTTATTTTGTCTATTAATTATTTAATTCTATTACATTACCGGTTTTATCAATTTCAAATGTTCCATATGACCATAAAGTTGGATAACTAATAAAATGGTTAGCTCAGTTAACTTAAAGCTAATGTGATACTGAAGAATATTTGGAAAAAAACATTCATATAGAAGTCATCTACATATTCAGTAATATCATAATGATTTAGAATAGATGGATTGTGGTTAGCAATGGAATCAAAAATATGTTTCATCCCCCTTCAGACTTGTCAACTGGATACACCTGCATCCCACTGCTAATGTTCTCATTGTGACCCAAACCCAGTACCCTAAGCTTTAAATGTTCAACACGTTATCCATTGAGCATCTGAGCCTACATAGCCAATAACTTATTCGACAGACATGATGTTCATACCATTCCCAATAAGAATTTGAACTACCTCATTGTTGATATTTAAGACTAGATTTTGGTCATATGTTCATTTTGTGTAGATTGCTTAGAAACAGACATTTTTGTCACAAGTTATTGAGAATAGATTGACTGTGGTCAGCAGCGCGATCCAGAAGGTGAATTTATTTCTACCTCGGAATCATTCGCTAAGGTTACAATAATTTATGATCGTCTTTTAAAAAATCGAATGCAAATTCATTATGTGAAGTTAAGCCAGCTGTAGGATTATCAAACAATATAAAGCACCGAACAAAAGTCTGAAAATTCTTACGGGTACTCACCAACTTTAAAATCTAATAAAGAACAGTACACTTTTAAAACATTAAGTTATGAACTACAAGTTTCCACTTTCTCCTTCTAGTTTATTTGTGATGGATTTCAATCCTAATCTAATGCTATCTTAAACGAGACTTGTTTGACCTAGCATATCACAGACGTCATCAAAAGATTAGTTAATAATAAGTTTTTTTCTAAAATACTTAGTAAATTATAAAGTTTAACTGAAAAATAGGTATTGAAAGCAAATTTAATTTTGACTAATCCATTAACAAAATTCCTAAATAAGACGAAACACGAGTCCCGGATCAAATAGCCCTAACCAAATATCAAAAAAATAATAAGTGAAGACAATAATATAACTTAAAATTGACAAATAACATACCTTAACGGAGCAAACAGCATTTGTATTTCGATGACAGCACTTATGTACAACTGAAAAAGAGCCTTTACCGATTTCCTCCAATAAGACATAATCGACTGAAAATGGTTTATATTTTACACCTGACAAGCCAACCAAGCGAAGAAAACGTCTTGCCACTGTAGGAGTTAAGGGTGGAAGATCTTCTGGAACATGTACTGGATTTGCACGATCTGTGTATCAAAGAAGAAATAAGAAAATGGTTATATGAATTGCAATCATAGCATTCTGTTACACTTCTGCATATGCGTGATAGCTGAAGTTCATAAAACAATTATTCACGGGAATTGCAATATATTTTGAGAACCCGAAACAATATTCTTCTCATAGAAAATAGTTATTAAAGATGAATCATCTTCATCACAAGAAAAACTTCGTTAGCCACATTCAATAATTGTTAGTGACTCCTATATTTCATAGTCTTCTCTTATACACATCTTTATCTGAGTGCTGCCAAGCAAGAAACTAAAACCTGTGTTAATTTGAACGCAAGGTATAAAGTTTAGGCGAAAGAATTGTATAATAAAATGTTGCGAGCAGTATAAAACTTCCATCGACGACAAACCACAGATAATATCAATAATTATATGATTAAATATTTGTTTCTGTTCATTCTCAACCAAATCACTGTTTATGTTTTCACGCCAAATGCTTCATTCATCCAATTTGAATTTAATAAACCCAGTATGTCTGATGATTGCTAATTGATCTGAATCCCATACTTCTGGCGATTCTCTGGCATTTTTATAGCTTCCTGATCTAAGATTTCAACTTTTCTCCAAACGAATTAACATCTACGGTAATCAGCATGGATTGATAACGATGAAAGAAAATGGTATCGCCTCATTTATAATGTTCATTAACGCCTAGATGAAACAGATGTCCACCATATACAATGTAATATTTTTCGTTGTTGAAATTCCCCTGGAGAATGTTTTATTTGCCTTTCATCGCCCTAATTTTCCGGTTAGCACAAAATATAATAGTGACTGTGTCGGTTGAAAACTTTTAAGTAATTGGACAACACCATCGATAAGTAATGAGTGCCCGATGTATATGAATTGGCACGGAATGGCAAAGTAAGGGCATGATTCCTACAATTTAAGAACGTCTGGTACTCAAAACATCTGTCAACCAATATTGCAGTTAGAACCATCAACACCAACGTCAAGACAGTTCTACTGTACGAAGCTGAAACTTGGAGAACTAGCACAACCATCGTCAAAAATGTACAGGTGTTTCTAAACGCAAGATACTCAATATCCGTTGGTCGGATTTCATTAGCAACAACATAATGTGACAGAGAACAAACCCGTATCCAGCCGAAGAGGAAATTAGGAAAAAACGCTGGAAGTGGGTAGGACATACATTGAGGAAATCATCAAACTGCATCACGGGGTAAGCGTTAACATTAAGTTCTCAAGGCAAAAGTAACGGAGGCATACCAAAGAACACGTTGCGTCAGGAATTGAAGGCAGACATCAAAAGAAAGAATAGCAACTGAAAACAAATGGGATGGAGAGCCCAGGAAGAAGTCAATAGGAGAATCCTGGTTGTTAGTCTATGCTTCACAAAGGGTAAGTAAGTAAGTGTTGTTTTTGTGAGCAACGTTGATTTTAAAGGGCTCGAAGATCCTTGTGATGGTTTCTGAGATATTTCTCGCATATGTGAGAACGATCTGTATCATGGCTTCGGAGATTGGTTTCTTGGTGGTTTGTTTATTGGCCAAAGACCATTTAACGAGTTTGTTGGGGTAGAAATTCGGACGAAAGATCCACTGAAGATGAGTTTTACCAATTTTTTATGTAGTGAGGAATCTGAAGTGCGTTTCAGTTTTTCTGAACAGTGTCTGAACACATCATTTTAGTGCTGTTAGATTGTTACTGCTGCGTATGTGTTCACATAGGTGTGGACGGAATTTTTAAAATTAAATATCGCATAGAAATTCTCTAGTATTCTGCTACTAATAATAATATTTAATGAATATATATATATATACATAGGAACGAATTACTGTGGTCAGCTATGTACATGAATACATATGTACGTAAATTCATTATGACAAGTCAGTAAACAATAAGGAAATATATATAAATATGCATATAAATCACACCATTACATATATCAATAAAAGTGTGATACTGAAAAGACGAGATGTAGTTAGATTTCTACCAATACACATACCATCATCGTGTCGAGAATTATAGTTGAATTTTTCTTTCGGTGAACTCAAACAAGTGATATTTGCTCCATTCAATACTTCTTTATTAAGGTTAACATGGGTGTTGCAATTATTTGTAGTTGTGGTATTATGATTATCATTATGCTCTGCAAAAAATCCAGGAGCTATATAACTGAATTCACGAAACAACGCATGCGCTGATGCACTGGCTGGTGGACATGGCGAGTCTGTAAGTTGAAAGCATTTGAAAAAAAACGTCAAAAAATTCTGCTTACGTAGAAATATTTAGTGAACAAGATAACTAATAATGTATACAACATCTTACAAACACAAAATATTTAAGATTTAGCGAAAAATAAGTACTGAGTGTATCTGTTATTGTGATCTATTGAAGGTTACAACTTAAGTACACTAGATCAGTTAGATGATCTCTAAACAAGAGATTAATCCACAAAGGAGTGCAAACAAAATATTTAGTTTTCTACAATCTCTGACAGGAGTGGTGTTAAACACTATTTCTAACTGTTATTGATCTTTATCATTAATTCAAATGACAATGCTTCATCTGTTGTAACATGATTGAGTGAAGTTGAAAAGAGTACGTCTAGAAACATAATATGCTTGTTGCCGATTTCTTACAAGAACATCGAGTACCATAAAATCTATAAGACCATGCAATTTTAATTTGTATACATGCAGTGAATAATCTAACGAAGAAAAGTGAACCGGAGCAGAACACGATCTAGATTTAAAATCTGTTCAATAAACAATAAAAGTATTTACAAGACTAACTTATCAAAAATGCACAACTATGGTCCCCAATACAACAAGAATAAACGTAACACTTAACTACGAAATACCTTTTGCTGTAATTCAAAAAGTTCACATTTTCAACTTTAATCGATTTGAAAAGTTACTCTCAAATACTAGCGAAGTTTATGATTGTAATTTGATAAATTGCCCAAACGTTTATTGCGTCATATATATATAATTCACTTTTATTAATAACTCATTATAAGAAATTGTATCTCTGTTATAAACACTGTAGCAAATACCTACCATGTGGTGTACGTGATGTATATTCTGAATCGAAATTAAGGATATCATTAATTGATGAGCAAGGAGGTTTAAATGGTGGTTGAATACAACCATTTAGTAAATCATCCCAATTGATTGTATTGAAAAATTCATGATTTTTTAAATGTTCAAATCCATCAGGTCCATATCCTAGCGTGGGAAAGAATCAAAAAATTGGTATACAGAAAAAAAACTTCAAACGATAAACTTAACAATAAACACAATATTTATTGGAAAGGCCTATGACACGGATTTATCAACCGGAATTGATATCTAAATAATTTATTTCATGGAATTAGGTTTTGTATAGTTCGATGAATAAACGTGTAAACACTATGGTCATTATCTATTCAAAGTAATCTCGATTAAAAAAAAACACTATAACTACAAAAACAAAGAAATGGACGTAGAACATGCGATTTCCGGACTATAATAATAACAATAATAATAATAGAAGTTTCAGGACGGCTCATCGTCCAGCGTAATTGTTGATCAAGTGCACTGAATAGTTGTTTATGTTAGAACTAATCAGATTCAACACTGTATTCAGTCAATACAGGAAGCGTTACTAAGTTTGTCGACTAAGCACTGAGAAAACCCTTAAGAAGTTTATGAAGTGTTGAGAGTTCGCTATTGCCATTACCACTGGTAATATCTTTACTACTCTACAACTGATAAATTGGATAAAAAAAACCACTTCTAATTGGATCAAATGTCTCAAAAATATCCCAGGAGTTTTTAAGAGTGATGTAGAGTCAAAATTAATACTAAAATCCTGTCTTTATGAAAACACAGAGCTTGTATAATTCCTTGTGCCTTCGAATCGTTGATTCTCACAGTCCGAAGGATTGATTCCGTAATGTATTTAGGAAGAATGTCTGTGCATAAGTCTTGAGTTAAATATTTAGGGATAGGTTTCCTTTATGAAAGATGACTCTCCCTACTTTCGGACATAGCTACACTTAATTTTATTCCATTTTCAGAACATAAAGTAGTCACTTAACGGCGAAACGGGGAAAAATTGAAAACAATAGAGCAGGAAACAACGAGATAGCCGAAGAGTCAGACTTCTAACAACGTACAGAAGTGTTTTGAGCAATGGAAAAAAATCGTACAAATGTATCTCCAAAAATAAGTAATATTTCGAATAAAAAACTATTGATATATCGTGAAATTTGTAAAAAATACTATCCCTTAGTTCGTGTATTTATTGAATAGACCGTATTTAATTCAAAATTAAGTAAGTGGTACCACAAAACATCTATACATTTTACTGTGTATACCTAAACAGCTTTAACTATAAATCTCTTAATATCCAGATAATTATTGATAATCCACTGATTCTGTTGGATTTTTAAATTCATAACCGTTTAATTGGAAATGTATTGAGTACAGTGAATGCAACAATGTGAATTAGGTGACCATGACAATATAAAGGGTTTAGAAAGTATTGAAGCTATTTAACTGTTTCGGCAGTCAATGACAATATCCTTGGTATCTATTTATTATCAATAAAACGAAAATCATACTGATAAAATTAAGAATAAATACAAACAAATGTAACACTTTCTTCATAATTATCATAATTTTAATGATATCTAAATTCAGTAGTATCTTATATTTAATGTATCATTTGAAGTCCAAAACTTTTATCAGTTAAATTAAATCTTATGCAGAGAATTAATTTGGATTTAAATAAACTTGTATATCTTTATGATTTTTTCAACAAAAAAAGCAAACCACTGAATTATTTGACATGAAGGTCGTTCACTAACTGGTGAAAGAAATGCACAATGATGTTTGTGCACAGCTTTTATGAATCTATTATGTAAGCAGTATGTTTCATTATTTTGTGTATATAAATAGGTAGACAAGCAGCTAGATAAGAAGAAACAGACAACTTCAGTTTTCCAACTTAATAAATCAAATTGTATTACGTTTTTTTCTGCAATCCATATCACTACCAAGAATAATCGTAGAATATAATCAATCTTAATAAAACAACAAATACTACAATCAAAATTAAGGGATTATATATATATATATATATATATATATATATATATATATATATATACGCATATACCTCTCTAGTTAACTCGAAGTTTCTGCTTTTTAAAGAATACATCCATTTGGTACAGGTATGGACAACCTTACCAGTATTCTTGTTACTTTTATTATTATTATTATTACTATGTTATTATTATTATTATTATTATTATTATTATTATTATTATTATTATTATTATTCAATCCCACCAGTTTCTCAATCTTCCACGGTGTTTTCGGTTATAACTAGCTAAGATAAAACAATAGAATAAAAAATGGGTGTAAACAGTTCTCCTCCACTCGGTGTTCTTGTTCTGTTAAATAGGCTTAGTATGTACATTCAATTAGGTAATTTCTGCCATATTTAGATATCATTATTTTGTTTAGCTTAACATAATTTTTAGTGATTTGATCAAACAAATTTTCGAGCACTAGTCATATCTACTGAGTAATAAATATTGTACAGTTATATATCTCCGGCTCGACCCCTTCAAAGGCTACTGCCGGTCCCATTCCCGGATAAGAGAGGAGGGTTAGGGATAGAGGTGCCAACCCTTGCAAAGAAAACGCTAACCAGCCTATGTCTCTAAGGGATGTAACAGGCTTAAACAGGTAAATGTTCGTATATAAAAACATATATATATACCTAGAGATTGAAACAGAATTGTCATATGTAGAAAGTAATCATTCGAATAAATAAAAACGGCAATCAACTAATGAGATAATTTAGTAAGTATAGAATCTGTTAGATAACTAATTCACTAACATCTTTTTTCTTACCTAGTCGATTCGATGGAGTTCGCTTGAAAAGAGCACGTAGTAAACTTTGAGCTGAAGGACTAAGAAACTGTGGCATTGATAATTTAGCTCTAAACAACAAAACAAAATCAAGTTTAGTAAACAAAATGGTCACACAAAATAAAAAATTTATTTTGCAATTAGTTTATCAAACTATTTAATAAGCTTGTTTTTTGCAACAAAATTAACTCGTGATAACGTTGAATGTTCATTATCGTTTCATGATAGTTTATAAAAAATAAAGAGATCTACAACATCAAGTAAATTAGTGGAAATTCTTTCTAAATTCTTTCTGTTTACTTAAATCAAACAGATTCCAATGCCAAATCTATGACATAAATTGACTTGATTTATGTTTACAGGTATAGTAAAACAAAGTAGTCTATTCATTCCATCTTGATTCGTATCCAATTAAAAACTAGTGTGTATTAAACACAATAAACTCTAGTCAAAATGTTCATCACTTCATAAGAAAACTAATCACAGTTTGTCTGAATAAGCTATTTAGTTAAAACAGAGTAAATATCCGAAATCATAAACCAGAGGCTATTTTTAGAGCATTTTAATAACATTACAAAGTGAAAGTTAACAATCAAGAGAAAAATTAGCTTTCAAATGTAACCAAATGAAACCCAATATAAACTGATGAGAAAAAACAATTTGTCTTAAAATTTAATGTAATATGACACAACAGATACTGAGAATGTCACTGCAGGATACATAATCTTTTGATACACAACATAAATGTCTATTTTATCGGTTATTGAAACTAAAAAAATTCATGTGTTTTTAATGTTTTAGACTAACAGTTTTAGGATTTTTAGTTTTATTTCAAAAATAACATGCTACATTCAAGAGTAGAACAATTCTGATCAATCTAATTATAATTAAACAGTTGGATTCACGAGCCAATTTAAGCTAGACCACCATTGAAAACCTGTAAGTACTGGACGGCCATTTTGTCTTAGTATGAGAATCCACAGCAGTGTGCATCCACGATCCCGAACGCGAGACTTGAACTCAGGGTCTTCAGTCTCAAATTATAACCATTTCATTGCAATATTTTCCAATACATATTTGGGAGATATTTTTCAGCAAAATTGAAAAACCACAAGCTAACACTTGAACAAGTCAATAAAATTAATTAATATGCACACTTTAGTTATTTACATTCAAGCAACTATACATTGAAATATTCTATAACTTTTTTTCTAATTATGTACTGAATAACAAAACACAGAATACCCAGTTGTACAAAAGAAAAATATCTTAACATATACACTACACAATAAACAGTAAATAAGAAAATGATTAAAATTAAGGTATTGAAATGAACTCTTTAATTTCATTTAATTTACTCATAATATAACCTGTAAAAAATTTTTTTATTTCTGACGCAGAAATATTTTATTCTAAAAAAAATATTTAAATAAACATTTTACATACTTTTAAATATTTTACAATTTTTTGTTGTTGTTTAATCTGTACAACACAACATTATTATTATGTTAGATAATATAATTTAGGAAAGTAAAAATCTAAGTTATACAGAAATTATACCTGGTAAAATAGATAAGTTATTTCCTTCTTAAAAGTGTGGAGGTGAACAAGGTACATTACATATGAGTTGTTAAGTACTTGATATTTTATTGATTATCAGATGGTAACATCAACAATTACTAGTCGATGTACACACAGTGTTGTGATGAATTGAGTACATGTTTATAAATATAAAGATAGAGTTGGTAATGAACTTGCAAAAGTGATTAGTTTAGAACTGAGAAACATTTTTTTTTCAATAAGAGCAGTTTGTTTGAAACAACTAATTGTAATGAAGCTATTATGTGCTGTGCATAGCAACAAACTTATAATGGCAGATAGAAGTGAATGTTGTTTTTGGTGGGGCCATCAAACGATGTGCTCTACAAAACAATAACTATATTTCACAGATAAGGAAAAGATCATGTACCATAAATCTGAGTGCAAAGTAAACAGTCAAATGAAGATATTCTGAAGCGAAATTTAAATTTTCGTGTAGGTTCATTCAAAGGCATTAATTATGTAAACATCAAGAAAATAAACCTATTTTGTGGTAACCATTTGGTTTAGATTACAAAATCCATTTTTAATCAGTAGTTTAAGTAATTCTTAGAACATCAATCTTAAGAATTTGACACCAAGATAGATTTTAACTACACACATTTATTCTTATGTACAAAGGATCATTTCATAATCTGACCATGTATCAAGTTATCGCAGTTAATCTTATGATCCACGAAAAATGTCAAACTAAAAGTTACTCTCATGAAAGCAATTACTACGGAGGAATGACAATTCAAACAGTACACAACTGATAACTTATCCCCTATATATTTAGATTATAACAGCATTGTACACTGTTACATTAAAACACATAAATACGTTGTCACATCGTTACATACAATCAGTTTAGAATTATCATGTAATTATTCAGCGGTACAATTATTCTCCTGTCACGCTTGATTTTTAACAATTCAATTTCTATGAGAATGATATTTCCTATATTGTAAAAAAGCTACATTTCAATAGTGAGTTGCAAATACTACAATCATAAACGTCTTTAGTTAATTTTTTTGCAAACCATATATGGTATACAATATTGTCTCCGTGTCAGTAAGTTAACTATACATGACGTCGAACTTGAAACATATGTATATCGGTTCAAGTTGTCATATCACACTAGCACAGTGAGATGAAATAGTCTAAACGAAACCAAGAGTAGTAGAAGTATGAAAGATATCAGTAGTTGTAGAAGAGATTAGGTATTTTCCGATAAAAACATTCACGATAATACTAGACACTTTATTCAAGTCTCAGTAATTCACATCACTTAACAAACAAATGAGAGAGAAATCTTAGACAAAAAGTACTACTTTTCATCAAACTCATATAAGAACAATATCTAAACTGAATCGTCAATTATAAATAAGGATTTTGATGTTACAATTGTATATTAATTTATATGAAAATAAAGGAATAAATAAAGTCTCCTCTCGATGTCAAAAAGTAAAAAAGATGACCAATGGTTTATTATTAATTATAATCATTAAATCTGTTAGTAGAATCATAGACATATTTGATTAAATCTTCCAATTTTTCAAGTGAAAAAAGCCTATTAACGGTTTACCGTTATCTCAAATTGCTAACCATTTATCTGAATGATCTATGTTCCATCTGTTAAATTGATATCACTCTACTAATTTGCAGTAGAGAAATGTAACTAAAGATTGTGCTTTACTTGACTATACACAACTTTAAGGAAGCTGTCAACAGAAAGTTGACTGTTAGGTAGTTGGATGTAGTTGGCAGGAAACTCATGAGCAGCAGGTCAGTAGCTGCACCGATAGAAGAATTGTGGTAATGTCTCAGACTGTGAAATTGAGTGGGGTGAGTACGAATCCTACAGGGAATATTAATGCCCTCAAGACTGCAGATATTTTTTATTAACAGAGTTTCCTCCTGATTACCTATAACTCCCTAAAAATCAAAACACACTGCACACGACGCCGAGCATTTAGAATAGTGGCCACATTGCAGCTTGATCACATGAATTACAAACAGTAGTGAAAGCTTGGTCAATATTCTTTGTAGTTTAAATATACAGCCGAAATCGAATATAATACTCTTATCAGTATTTAACCGATGCAATAAAGTACGTCGTTTCACAAAAGAGTATCCAAGAAGAGCGCAAATTGTATTACAGATAATTTGCTGTGAGAGTAAAACTTATTAGGAATAAATGAGCAAACTTTTTATCTATAATTTGTCAGTTTATGTCGTTTACTACATTGAAATTATTGGAATGATCATTTAAAATATACCTTAATATGATGAAAAAATTATTATTGTTATTTTATTATAATGTATATACATTTTGAATATTTAGTCATACTACATGACCAAGTTGGTTTTAGTTACATTAAATACAGAAATTTTCTAAGTTTATCAATTTAAACCAATTATTAGTAAATTAGCCTGGAAAAACGTCAACATTTTCAATAATTCTAACAATTCAACATAATTATTCTGCCAAGTTAGGGGTATACTAAAAAATTCAGGTATTCAGTACAAACCTACAGCCTGAGACACATGTACATTGAACTAAGTAGTCATTATCAATGTAAAACGTTGAACAATGATTCGCATAAATTTACTAATATTATTACATAAAGAAGCAATTTTTCATTGAGAATAATCCACTCAACACTTATTTACGAGCACACGTAACAAATGTACATGGTTATTATTTCAGAAGTTTGAGGTTTACCTTTAGAAAAAAACAGATTTTCAAACATATAAAAGCGTTTTGCGTGGTACACAAATCTATTTAGTATCAGATATATACAGAAGATCAATTAATTAATTTTTATGTTTCTGGTGGAAATCGTTGGATTTATTTTGTACTTTGTGACTTTTTGTTTTTCTGTACATTGAATTTTCTCCTGTTTTATTCTAGATATCCTGTATCATTTATTCTTACAGTTTTTTTCCCGATTATCTGCTACTAATATCAATGACCGATAATCTTCAATTCACTGTTTGTGTAAAACAAAACACAATGCGTAAATGTCACAGCCCTTGTTTTGTATTCTCTTTGAAAAAAAACCTCTTTACACGACTATTTCAATGCTTTCTCTTTAGCTGAGTTAGTTGGGAGTATTGATAACCACTGTTGATTGTATTTTCCAACTTATGTATACTTTTTATTTCGAAGTTTTATCTTGCATTATTTGTTAAATAGATCGCAAATGCAACTCACTTATAATGTATTATAAATTATTGCGTGACATGTATACTACTATATTTCAGTAGGTATTGTTTACAAACGTAGACATAGACAATATGAACATGTACATTATCTCCATTTTTAGAGTATTCGTTTGGAAACTGAACTAAAACTCATTCACATTACGTTTGAGACTGTATTTCGCGATGAATTAGTTTTTGATTTATTCATATGTGAATATTCACTTGCATGTGATCATAGTTAACGATAAAGCAAATCAGACTGTTACAAATACAAAAAAACACATTAAAATACATTTCCATTATGTGTGTTATGTGATAGACTCATCAATAATATTTGTAAAGCATTGAAACATATCCATTTTAAATAATTTACAAATGTATTTAGCAAACAAAGTATCAAAACAATGGATATTTCAGTAGCAGTAATAATTCACAAGGATTTCTATTAATATGTACTCAAGTTTAAGTAGTCCACTGTCTACTTTGAAATGAACGGATAGTGATCTTGATGCCTGATTCATAAAAAGCAAAACACAGTAATGACTTATAGACAAAATTACAATGTGTGAATTGTCTGTTAAATATCTTTTTCTACTAAATAAACTATAGAGTTCAAAAAAATATGCGCGGAGAATGAGGTCTTGGAACGAATGTTGAAATTAAGACGCATTTGATGATACGTAATTTAAACATACTGCTAAATTTGAAGTTGTTATTATAGCAATTACAAGTTCGCAAAACACAAAAAACTGAATATGTTTTACGTGTTAGACTAACTAACTCTTGGAGAATGTTAACCTCTAAATGATGGCGCCGGATAACATGGCTGTGTATGATCAAATAAAGTATCGCAAATGCCTTAATAGCTACATCAACAGATGAAAACAAAGGATTGTATATTTATTATCCTTCAACAAGTTTCCCCAGATTAATCATTAAAACGATTAGTTTTACTGCTTTAGTACGATACGTATTTACCAGTTGTACACACAAAGTATGTACATTGCACGCGTTTTCTGTATTTCATGTACCAGAAACCTTGTAATATTTCGTACTATAAGTCAAACTGGAAAAGCTTTAAAACATAAAATTCAGTTGTATTAATCAAATTATCAATATACTTTCGATCTCATGTGATCGGACTTTAAGAAAAAAACAGGTTGGAACGAATAACTAATCAAAACTGTTTTAGCGCTTATATAGACTTCATTAATTGAGGAAAATCTCTCAGTAAATAGCTGTTCTCCACCAAGACAATTATTCTCGACAAATTAGACAGAAAACAGTTGTATTTACTATCCCGATATATATATAAGAACAGGCCAAGATGATAAATAGTAAGAATCAGTAACTAAAAACCTGCGAGCCAACACAAAATAAAATTCTTAATCAGATAATTAGAAAATATTATTCTCACAGTCATTTAGTTCCGACAATGCAACCCTTTAATTAAGTTGTAAAAATAAAAACCAAACAATAAATTGATTATTTCATAAGAACAATTTAAGGCTCGTTCAGTTTAGATGCCACGATATAAACCAATTAACTTATGAAATAAGTCGTTGTTTACATGCTCTTAGTAAAAAGCGTGTTTACTGTCATGTTTTCCTATTAATGCTAAAACGTGTGAAGATTTCAGGGTCAGTTGGCCGCTTATTCAAAGTAAATTCATACTGGCAATCGAAAATAACAATATACATATTTAGCTATCTTTATTTGTGTGACGCGAATATATTTAGTGTCCCTTTGTACCAATATTTATGTGCTCAAATAAATAAAAATAAATTAATATCCTTGTTTGCAGACAGCTAATACGTTTTCTTCATTATCATCAACCACTGACTTTTTATTGAAAATACGTCACTCCTAGTTAACTTACTTTAAAATCATTTGCATTGTATCTTTCCTACTCTCACTATGAAAAGGCAGCATACCAGTAAGTAATTCATACATAAGTACTCCGAAACTCCACCAATCGGCAGCAGTACCATGTCCATGTCTACTTACAACTTCTGGAGCCATATATTCAACTGTTCCACAAAAAGAATACGTCCGATCACCAGCAGATTCGAAAATTGACTCCTTTGATAGACCAAAATCAGTTAAACGTACATGACCATCTTCATTCAGTAGAACACTATATCAATTTGTTGAAAAAAAGAGTACGAAAAAGTCCAAGTTCATTAATCAATATGAAATCACCAAGAGAACTATCATAAACAGAAAGGAATCAATCGCATTAATTTAGTCTATATTTATAAAATGAATAGAATAAAATCAAGAGATTTACAGTATATTTCAAAGCTTTTAATAGTCATTAATCCACAGAAGTACTGCTCCTTGAAGGGAACAATTACGATAACTTTCGTTATACTTAAATCTGAAGTTGATATATTCATAGATTGCAATAAAATATCAAGTAAAATGTACAATGATTACAAGCAAAGGTGGATAGTGGCTAGCAGTGGAATCCAGGATGCGCGTTTCGTCCTATTTGGGATGTGTCAGAGATGAAGCTCACTCTGGGACTCAGACCCAGTACCGTTCGCTCCAAATACCATAGCGTTATCCACTTAGCTACAGAGTGCTGATAGTGCACAATGATTTACGATATTAAAAACAAACAAATCAGAACATTCATTAGTATTTGCACACATAATCCGGTACGAACATCATTTTCTTGTAAAAAATATCTTTATCAATCTACTGAAAACAATTAAAGATTTTATTGAGAACACAGAAACCCAAGTTAAGCAACCAATGTAATCTAGGAGGCATTGGATAGCTGTTACGTCCCAGAATGGGGCTCCTTGGCAATGTGCATTCACGAACTTGCCAGGGATTGAACCAAGGGCCTTAGTTATCATGGCTTAATCCCATACTCGATTTAAACAGATGTCCAGTGATTCCTGATTTTTCATGGTTGCTCAACTTAGGTTGGTTCGTGATCTCAATAATATCTAACAATCTTCACTAACTCCTGCACTGATAATAAATAATATCTTCAATATGTTACTGGCTGTTTCCTGGTTAATATAATTCCAGACCAATATTTGATTTCTGTAGTGCTGGTTTCTTTTGTGTTGACATGGAAGTTAGGCAACATAAACATTTTCAATAGTTAGCACAAAACAAGATTAGAATAACCAGTAAAAACGACTTAAAATTACCAGCCAAATATCTTACACATCTTCCACTGAGAAATATATGTGGTCGGATGGTTCGATAATAAAATCACCGAGTGAAGACAGTATGGAATTCACTGAGGTATGAAAACCAGAAGCATAAAAATGCATTCTTAATCATGAGCAATGTAAGAACCTCATATCAATACGTATTTGTACAAGTTGCTATGAATCATCAACACAACAATCTAAGATTGAGATTAATATCGGGACAGAGGAAGTAGAAGCAACACCATTTACACTGAAAATAACTTTAAAATTTTAACTACTCCTGGCAAAAGCTTATTTTCCGTAAAATATTTGTTTCGGTTTACATACATTATTATTAGGCCTAAAAATAATACTCGAAAGTTCTGGGCCCAAAGTGCGCGTATGATAACTAACTACGTTTACCAAAAATCGTTTTTCTAACGAGTAACGACAACATGAACCTTCACATAAACAAGAATTGATTCGTTGTTTCCAGCCTCCTAAAATCATGCAAAGAATTTAGTAAAGATTAAAAAATTTTACAATGGTGGAGATTTATAGATCAGGGAGATGATTTTGTTGAAGTTTTGTTAAAGCTCAGAGAACAACATCAAAATGTTTCAAAAAGATATGTAAATGTAGAAAGGAAACCGTAGAATAATAAAACGTTTAAAGTCCGGAGGAAATGAAGCTTCCCCTCTAAAACCTGACATGAGATAAATTAAATCTTGCTATGAAGTTTATTCTTTGAAAGACTCTACAAAAGATACACATCCAGCTTCACCCTGGGATCTTCGCACATCTTACAGACTTTCAGCTTAAAGTAGGACAAAATTCTGTCTAAAGCAAATATAAGTTCAAAGCTCTTAAAACATCCTTATAATTTTCATTTAAAATATTTTGAATACCAGGACTCTAAACAATAAGAAATATTTTTGAGTTAGATATCAATAAAAAATTTGAAAGTTTTCTAGAGACTTACTTTTCAGGTTTTAGGTCTCTATAAACTATCCCGTGACTATGTAAGTAGTTGAGAGCCAATGCAATTTCAGCCAAATAGAATTTCACATCGTCTTCCGTAAACATGTACTTTACGGTAACGTAGAATAATGGAAACTTGAAGTTACCTCTTTGGACAAGCGGGAGAAAAGATCCCCTCCCCTTAAAAATTCCAGGATAAGATACACCTTCCCCTCAGTTTGAAAAGCTAAGGTAGTCAAATTAAACGGATGAGCATACCATAATGCAAATCAACAATGTATGGATGCTTAATTCTAGTTAAAATATCTCTTTCTAGCTTTGTCCTCAATCTATCACGAACTGCGAGTTCAGTAGAAATACCTATATTTCAAACCTTTCAAAACAGCCTTCTTTAGTACTTTCATTGCATACAAAGTTCCTTTATCATTTCCATTGTTTTTCCTTACAAGAAATACCTGTACTAAATATAAGATTGTTGAGAACGACAATACCTTCCCAAAAGACCCTTGACCAATGACATAAAGCAGATCAAAACATGATGGATCGACTTTTTCTGTATTGTGGGCTAGTTTCTCAATATTCACTTCAACCTCGGAAACATCGACCTAATACTGCCTAAGAATTAAAGAAATACAAACCTTTTGACAACCAACATCCGGTGCGTCATCTATAGATATGCACTTTAACTATTCATAATGACAGTAATCCCAAAAACATACCTCATTCGTGACATCACTTGCCTTCAGGAATGGTTGACCAAGATGTGCAAGCGGCATCTCATTGATTACACCTTCGAAAAAGCGCACAAATTATTCCGAATATATTTTAATATTGAACCATGAAAAATCTTCAAATTTCAAGTAACAGGTTTACTATCTTCAGACTTTGATTGATTTATATGAAGGTTTCTTCTAGAATGAAAAGACTTTTTCATTATCCTGTCCATCTTTTAAAGCTACCGAATTTGACGACCGCAGAACCTAATCGAAACTATTCGCAAATTGTGACTAACATACTATAGTAATTTTTTGATGTTCACACCTTTTCGTATTAAGGGCTATCAAACTCAAACTTTGGAGTCATATTATGAGGAAGTCATTAGTTACAAAATATATCACAAACTCATCTCCGCTTATAATTTCATACTAGGAAGTTCTCAAACTGATCAAGACTTTGTTTAAAAAGATTATTAACTTTAGTTCCTCCTTTCTAAAGCCAAATACTTTACTTTGATTAATAAGCGGATAAAATAGTGCGACTGCTCATAAATGAAGTCATGCAATTTGACTTGCATACGATGTGTAGATTCATCAGCAAATACGCACCTGCCTCTTCACCATAGTTTAAATGAATCACTTTTAAGTTTGAGATCACGTCACAACCAATTATCTCGTCCTCCTGCAGAAAAATGTAGCTTCAAAAGTCTTACGAGAAGAAACGGTTTGTTCAAATAACTCATAGTTGACTCAGCACGGCAGAAAACCAGCTTCCATAGATTTCACTCACGTGAAGCATGTTATGGCATGCATCGTTGTGTCGACAGTTCTCGGTTTGGTGCTGGCTTCCGCGCATCTTGAAAGGTTTCAGTTCGTATTTTATAGCAATAATTTTAGGACTTATGCTTCGTTTGTAAGATTTTTATGTCAGCTTTGTTGATGCCTTCCAAGTCAACTGAGCCTGACATAATTATGGTTTTATTGCGTAAGCAGGTCCATGCTGATCTATTTTGAAAATCAGAACTGAGTTTATAATCTTGAGAATGAAACAATGATTCAATAAAATCATTGAACGATTTAATGTTAATATCTTAAAATCATTTGTAAAATAATGAAAGTTACCTAGATGATGACTAAATAATGTGTTTGTGATAACCCAATGAGTAGAAAAATTAAATTTTTTCATGTTCCGTGACTTAGTGTAAGCCACTTCTTCAGGGAATTAATAGTAACCTGAGTGAGATTTTACTTGCAAGTTTTTATAATTTCAACCGCATTACAATGACGTTTTCTGCAAAATACATTCTTAAACTCAATTAGAGCTCGTTATCTTATACAGAAAAGATGTAGCTTAGAGAAGCCTTTATCACTTACTATTTAGTTAACGATAGCAGGCAGTAGCAATAAATATCCACGTTTATTAAGCGCCACAGAAGCTTGGGAATTTCATATGGTTTCAGTTGTGGTTAGTCAAACTTACCATCAGCGGACTGAGAAAGTGGCCTAAAAGCTGGCTGCAATTAAACGCAACTCAATTTCGTAAATGTGCCCTTCAGCTTAGCAACCAATCAGAATGAGGCGGGAATTATTATATCCGCCATCTTTGTAGGCAATGGCGGTCGGCTTTCTTTGTTCTGTGCTTCTTTCAGCTATTTCTTTTGCGTGACTATGTAATTTAATGTTTCAGTGTGCTAAAATGCAGAAGTTAATGTAATTTTCTAATTGTTGGAGCGAAATTTTCTTCTGATTTAGCTTTATTTTCTGGGGTTTTGCTGCTGATGATCAATTCAATGTATTTCTTCAGCCAAGCTGGTTCGTCTCATGTTTTAAAATGGTAGTCGGTTTTGTTTTGACTTGTTTTTTTAGATATCCAAAGCCGGAGTTCGTTTCTCTAGCTAGAATAATTGTTGTTGCTGCTTGTGACTAACTGTCCGCATGTTCGTTCCTAACCGTCCTTTATGATGTCATCGGCAAAATGAAAGGAAACAATCTCCAGTTTTTAATTTTCTTCAGTATTATGGACAACACTATCCCACTAACGAGTCAAACTAATACTGGTTGCCCAGCAGTAACGGATACCAGTATTGTTTTCGAAAGAACTCAGACTTTCGATAACCATAGACGAAGTCACAGATACTACCAATCTATTGAAGACGGTTTGTTATTAAAAATATGTCATATAGCAGTAAAAGAGGGGTTGTACTCATTACGTAGTGCGTTAAAGCAAGCCTAACATTGAAAAGCCGGAAATCTGCTATCAGTGTGTAGTGTATGTTTGCTGTTTCGGCCATAAAAGGAAGCCGAAGGGTCATGATCAGGGAGTAAAAGGGTAATTAACTGTTATTAAGCTCACTTTTTTATAGATCATACTTCACCACTCGCAAATCTGTGTTTTTTACTGTATGACATCAACCGGTACCTAATATTTTCACCCTTACGATGAAAAATACCTGGAAAGTTTCACCTTCATATTCGAATTATTTTTAGACAACTGCCTTCCAGTTTGATTGCTTCATACGCCCTGGGAGACTAGATTCCTACATTATTCATAGTTTCAGTATAACTTTCTCACGCGGTAAGTTCAAAATAGACACTAGTCTTTCTAAATGAGCCTGTTAAGCTAATATCCATATTCTCTATTTTAGTTAATCGATGAATACATGTACCACATGCATCTGCTGTACATTGCCATCTCACTGTAATTCTAACTGTTATATCTTACTTTTAAAAAATAAAATTGTTATATGCAGCAAATATAGACTTATTTGTTTTGATGGAGATAGGGGGGTTCATGGGATTTTTAGCAGGACTGTAGTAATATTCTCACTAAAGAGCTAAGCGAGTGCGTAGACCAATGTAAGGTACCACACAGGGTTACTCGTGTTCCATTAGTGTGGGTAGAGGCATTACTTGCTTATCATATGACATTTGAATTAGAAGCTATGAGATTAGACACGGGGACGGTTAGGATGTGTAACGCGTGTCCGTCCATCAGCTATCGTGACAACTCATGGTGATTAGAATAAGTTGTGAGAGGACCCGAGTTTGCAGGTTTTCCATGAAAATGACGAAGATATGTACTAGATCACCTTATGAAGAGCGCCTCCAATAACTTAGACTTTACCCATTACAGTATAGACGTCTTTGAGGTGACCTTCTAATGGCTTACAGTATCCTTAACACTTCTGGACATCCTCTTAAACACCTACTTAAACTTAGTTTCAACACTAACCTAAGGGGTAACACCCAGAAACTGGAGACACAACTTCTACTCCTTAGGAGTTGTCAAGTGCTGGAATTCGTTGCCCGCCAAGCTACTGGATATATTCTTAAGGATAGAATCATACTATGATTTACCAATTTCTTTTCCCTCTTTTATTGTGAATATACCTAGGTTCCTGCCTGGAGGTTTTGGTGATCGCCTGCTACTACACATAGAAGCCTGTTGAGCGAAAGCATCTACTCAGTCCACAACCATTTTAACACATGAACTAGGTGCTGAGGCTCGCTTATCACAAGTTTCTTGTAACGATTAAGTAGGTAAAACAAAGTACCATTAGATTCAAAAATTTATTCAAGAACTTTCATTAAGAATCGAATTTCAAACAAAGGTTTAAACCAAGTTCCCGTTTGGAAGTTGTATTGGTAATGTTGAGTCGCAGTTTTTGTTGTTTTTCTCCAAACGAAAGAGTAAAAGAAGCCAACAAATACTGGAGGTGGTTGTGAAACTAAACTGGACGTCCAGCATCCTTTTTATAATCTGCTGTTAGTTGGGTCTCCCGTAAACAGTTCCACAGGAACATAGTTCCAAGGGCGAAGTAGTTTTTAGGATTTGTGAAGACTCACTCCTGTTGCATTCTAAATGAAAAAATAGTGATGAATTTAGTCAGAAATGTGGAATAGATAAATAAAAAAATTCCATGTTTTTCAGGAAAGAATTTATGCAGTTGCGATTTACCCTGAGTTCATGAATATTAGATAAGGTCAGCTACTATTACTTATGCAAAGCATAACATGGGCTTAGTACCGTATCGCAATGCTTTTATTATTTTGCGCCCATTTAAGTATTCCCATGCCTCTGCGTCTAGTTTAACAGGAAGGCATACAAACAGAGTTAGTGTCTGATAAACTAAAAGAACCAGTTGTCAAAAAAACTCTTAACATTTGTCCACAGCCAGCTGCATTTAATTGAGACACAGAACACTCATCTTCTAAAACTGTATACTGCTGTTTTGTGGGCAACTAAAAGCTCAGACGCTTAGCTATCTTGCTACCGATGTTATTGCTGGGGAAATAGTTTAATGACAGTGATCATGAAATATGGTCAGTGATAGCACCGCGAACTTTGAAAGTGGTAACTTTTTTTCACGTGGTTTAGGAATTCTTCGACTTGCTCTTTTGTAGGGTGTATTATACTGTGATTATCATCTTATCCTGTACATCGGGTACATCTTACTGTGAAAAATAAGGAAAAAACTTATTTTTATTCGACAGACAATTATTAGTTCGTATTGTACCTATTGCGGACTTAAATCATTAATAGATCTGCAATTTATTATATACTCATAGTCTCTAATCCTAGTATTAACCAGTTTAATACTTAATAACAACTAATACTCAGATATTATATTTAATTTAACGAGCACTGTGCTCACTTATTTTCATATCATGTCCAATAACTCCATTAAAAGACGATTTTCACCAACTTCTAAGCCAAATAAAAGGTCCAAATCTGTAACTCCTACAACTGACGACTCAGTGCTTGACAATGTCGAACCTTTAACTACTGAAAAATATGTATATTGTACACAAATGTCCCTATCGTCACCAGATTCTCCCTGTCGCAGCCCCTCAATCTCTACGTGCGGTATGCCAACGGTAAGACTGGTGGACATACAAGACACTATACCTACGTGCATCGAAAAGTCAGCACAATCTACTAGACAATATGTGCTACCAAGGCCTAAGTCTAAAATTTCAAAAACTAAAGAGTCCAATGGTCCTCCTCATACACACCAAAATACTGATAGATATAGTAATGAAATCCGACAGCTGCAAAA